CTATTTTTAGTGGTTCTCGACAGCTTTGACCATGCCTTTGCTCCATAAGAAGTCTCATCTCGATTCCCAAAGCACAGAACGAGAACATCGATGTTGATTAAGTTGTTGTTGTAAATAAAAACAACTTTGGCCACATAACGTCATCTTGACTACCACCACTCCATGCAAATAGTCTCATGAAATTGTCATCATTCCAGGACGAAGGACATAAACTAGAATGAACGCGCTCGCGGCGAAACCTGCCGCCCCGCGGCGTCCATCTGTTCGCCTATCTCACTACCCACTTGCCTGCTCGTTTTGTTTCAATATTGATCGCCCAACAGAATGATAAAATTATCAATCTCCCAGACCAATAGTACAGCTGTGAATGTCACTTGAAAAAAGACTGAAACGACTTAGAATAGCAGTAAAAGTAAGCTATTCATCAATGTCGGTACTGCGGTAGTGCGGTCCCCGAACGGGCGGCGTCGCGCCGGCTATTTTTTGGCGCGCTTTTTCGTCTTGGCGGGCGTCATTGCTGTGTACCTCAGTTAGACCTCAACCTAAGTATTTCTGTAGAGTTGTATGGGTCCATAGGGGCACCTATACGCTCACAGGAATCTTGTTTACTTTATTTATTTGGTGTTACCTGATTTTCGCCATTAAATCGTAAATTTGAAAGGTTTTACAGTTTATTAGATCCATGTCTCAAAATCGTCATTATTTCGCCTTTCGCAATCGGTCGAAATTGATTTCCCACCTGACGAAATGATTGGGTCATTCACTGCTTCAGAGCTTTTACGAACTGACTTTATTTCTGTTGTTATTGATTGTTTTGAACCGGTCTACTCAGCAATACAGTTACAACCTGTTTACTGTTGTTGTTTATGCAATCCCTATCTTTATAAGTCAACAGAACATGGAGAACTTCCTTAATTAATTTGAAGTTTGTAGTAGCAAATCCATATACTGGACCGTGGAAAAGAAAAACTCACAAGCAATCAGCAAATAGCGCAGCTCGTCTCTTGGTATTGATTATTTCCAATCATCTTCTTTTCGAATTATCCTTTTTCCAGTTTTTATTTTGAAACTACAAAATTTCTTGATTTTCTGGGGCATTTATCGCGAGAACAGACTTCTAGAAGTTCCCTTTTCGAGTGGAATCATCTTAGATGGTTTTCTGATCGCTTGTTAAAAGCGAAATTCTATTTTGCCCACGATAACTGCGGCAAAACCGCGTTTTCAAACTCACCTAGCTGCCGATTTCCTTTCTTTAGAACTCATACTTAAGTCTGACTGCATGATGCTTCACTATGTTTTTTTGGGTAAAAGGACGGCCAAGGTACAGAGCACAAAAGCTAAAGTTCTGAAGTATCGTACGTTCCTGTTCCTCAGGTTTCTATTTCGTTACTTCATGAACATTCCTTGTTTTAGACCTTGGAGAGCAGAAGATTGCTCGGGGACTTCCCCAGCATCTTCATACAACCTTCTAAGTTTTACTTTATCGATCAAACCATTCGCTCAGCTTCTTAAAACTGGCTTTACTATTATTCTTATGGATAGTGCCAGATTTGTATTATGTTGTTAATATTGGCTTGCAAGCCTGTTAAAATAACATAAACTATTTCTGTTCCCTACCTTTTTCTTCGTGATTGTTTGATCTTTCTTTTTGGAGTAAAAAAACGGCGCCGTATTACTTATCCTCTGTATTGTTTATTATTGCGCTGAAGGTATTTGTTTCAGGTCTCTAACACACTAATAACTCTTCAAAAGCATTCACAGTAATCTCTGTATGGAGGTGGACACAAGCAAGTGCGAAACTGGGTATGTTTGCAATTTTTGACGTAATACTTGTACGTACTTCGTCAATTCGTTTGACTGTTTTTAGCTCCTGGTTATCCTGGGGTAAGTCTTCCCTGATGAAGCTCGCGGAAGCCGAAAAGCGTCTTTTTGCAACTTTTGGTGCACAAATACTTTCGCGATTTGTACCAGTAAGTTTTCGTCAGTGGTTTCTCTATTTTTTCGATATTCATTGCATGTTATGATCGATTCCATTCAAGATTCGGTTCAAAGGCAGTGAAATGTATACTGTCACGGTAGAACCGACCCATGAAAAGAAGTCTGAGGAGCCAATTGTTTTGGTGCATGGATTTGGTGCTGGTGTTGCTGTATGGAGTGCAAATATTGCTTCTTTAGCAAAGCACAGCATGGTTCATGCCTTTGACCTTTTAGGTAAGTCATTCATTTGATTGCATTCTTAGAAACTCCTAGTAAGACGTGCCGAGACGTATAAACAAGCCCTTCATAATCGTCTATAACCCTTATAAGGTGATTGGCAAGCTCTTAAGAGCACTCGTTCTAAGAGTAGGAATATCTATCTCGACTAGATCTCATGAAAGATGTCTTCTGCAAGTATAAAATATTGGCAACAGGCTCCACAAGTACATGGCCCGTCACTTCCATGTACTCGTGGTGCCTGTTACTACGATTTTAAGGATTATAATTTTCCCCTATCGAAGTAGATGTCAATATATGACTCAAGCACATATTGATTGACCTCTTTTACGTTGTGAGTAAATATAATTCGAAGACTTTCATCTGCTTTATAACTCTTGTATTCTTCAGGTTTCGGGCGTTCCTCTCGACCTCGATTCAGTAATGATCCGACGTTGGCTGAACTGGAAATGGTTGAGTCTATTGAAGATTGGCGTAAGTCAATGGGAATAGAAAAAATGTACCTCGTTGCACATTCATTCGGTAGGGTTTATTTTTTGCTTACTGTCATTGAAGCTAGATTTTCCGTGCATTCAGTCCAGATTGTTCGAGTTTAGGTGCTTATCTTGCATCTTCCTATGCTCTTGAACATCCCCATCGTGTGAAGCATCTTGTACTTGTAGATCCTTGGGGATTTCCAGAGAAGATTGCGCCTACAGAGAAACAGGTGTAATTCTTTTTATGATCTTTTGTTAATGCTAGATTGGTATAATAAAAATTTTTCTCAGATAACGCCTTATCCATGGATCATGTTCATAGGAGGAGTGCTGTCCCACTTCAATCCATTGGCAACTTTGCGAGCTGCTGGGCCTTATGGTGAGTGAATGAAAGTGAAATGAAATCACTCACTATTTTTCAGAGTTAGATTTACACTAGAACACTTTCTTATTTCAATTAGGGGTTTGATTTTAGATTTTGTGGGTTATGATCTAAAAAGAATAATATTCGAGGCAGCGCCATTCGGAGTGAAGTGAAGCATTTCGATTGTGCGAAATGTTTTTATAACTATTAGCTGCAATCGCTCCTTTTAGGACCCACAATTGTGAAGAAGTTACGCCCAGATCTCAGTCATCGGTACAGGAGTGAAAATCCAGATGACATTTACGACTACTTGTACCATTGCAATGCTCAGAAACCAACTGGTGAAACAGCCTTCAAAAGTATGACATTGCCATTTGGATGGGCGAAACGACCTATGATGAGACGGTATGTGTAAACTTTGCCATTTTTTGCATGTTATCGTTTCGGGTATTACTTAATGGAACTTGTTTGTGAGTATTAAAGCATTGATTACATCATCTAGATTCAACGGTCTTGATGAAAGTGTGCCAGTAACGTTTATTTATGGTAGTAAGAGTTGGATTGATCCAGGACCAGCGTTCGATATTCAGGCCCAGAGAAATGGATATGTTGATGTACAGGTAGGTC